TCTGTTTGTCTGTCTGTTTTTTAAAACGGCTCTACCGATTTAGATAACAGTTTACTACCAGGTAGCTGTCTATTTAAGGAGTAACTTAGGCTATTATTCCTTTCACAAAAAACCTCATAAATTTTTTGTCCGGTCCGGGAATCGAACCCGAGGCCCCATGAACTGCAGTTGCGTACCCTACTACACCGCTTTTCAAATTCCTCGCAAACGAAGTCACGGGTGTCAGCTAGTTTAAACTAAAAGTACTTATTTGTTATCCTCATTGGTAGCGTGCGTAGAGCCTTATAGCCTTCCTCGATAAACGGGATATCCACCACTGTAAGACTTTTTCAATTCGAACCAGTAATTCCTGAGATTAGCGAGTTCAACCAAACAAACAAAGCAAACAAACTCTTCATCTTTATAATATTAGTATAGATTGGACTGATTTCCTTGGTTTTGTGGTTACTGGTGCTGATTGCTAAGTCATGGAGTCAAGGAGGTAATTTCTCACCCAATATACATAACTGTGTAATGAGCACGATTACATAGAACTTTTATAATAGGTCTTTACCTATGAAATTGCCGTTTTGTATGCAATAAGTGCAAGTACTTATTTTTTCAAACTTTTTTATTTCTGTTATTCGAAGTAATCACCCATGCAATCGACGCATCTTTGCCAATGCATTGGCAGTTTATTGATGCCCTTCTTGTAAAAATCAGCTGGACGGGAGACAACAAACTCTTTAAAGGCATTTTGTACTGCCTCTTGGTAGTTGAATTTTTTACCCACTAAAAAGTTGTCTAAATTTTGGAAAAAGTAATAGTCGGTAGGCGCAAGTTCTGTTGAGTACCAAGCAACCAGCTTTTGTCAATCTACCATCATACTGCGCAACAGACAGTCTCCAAGCTGCAAGAGCTGGGGTTGGAAGCTCTCCCTCATCCGCCATACTCACCAAAAATAACTACTTTCACTTATTGCATACAAAACGGCAACCTCATAGGTAAAGACCTATTATATATAAACATATACAATTTAGTTATAGCTCGTTCAATTCAAATCAGTATATCTGTTCAGTATCCGCAAGTTTACTGGCACCGCAGACCAAAGCAAAACAACTGGTTCCCTCGAGGGAGTCGTGGCTTCTGCCGTTGTACTTGTGTATGGATCAGCGATGCTCTGATATCTTATACAGTAAGATATCTGTGTCCCGGCGGCAAATAACCAAATAGATAGAGCAGTATGCAAAATCAAGATTTGCGTGGAATTCGTTATGCTCTCGCGTCTTACAGAATGTTATGAAATTCTGGATAGATGTTTTCATGTGTATTTTGGGTTTATTTATAACTTCTGTATAGACAAATAAAGAAAATGGGGCGTTTGTATTCCAGTGGTGATATTGCCGTAGGGAAGAATAAAAATTTCAAGGACTTTTAAAGCAGGAATTACTTACTGCACAAGAATTGAGATAATTCTGAAACGAATAAAGTACAGATTTTAATAATCATTATATTATCTGTGTGGTTTCTATGTGCATATAAAAACCAATAAAACAACTGACACAAAGAAGACCCAGACTTGCATCAGTAAATTTTGACTCTTGTATTAATCAAACCCACAAAACTCAGCGCGGCGAAGTGGCAAGACGACTACTTTAATCATTGCGCTACTTTAATTAAAATTTAAACTCACATGTTTTATAGCAGAAACACACAGTGAGCCTGAACTTTTATTCTACCCAAATATATAACATAAACTGAAATGTAACTTGCAGTCTTCCCGCACTTTCACAAGCTAAATTAGATCAGCAATAGTTAAACATCCTCCCAGTTCTCTCAGATTAAAAATAAAACTATTCTTTTACTTTTAAAACTCTCTCGTGAAGTCACAGTGGTTCAGGCTTCTTGATCGTCTAATTCGTTTACTCGGACGAGCACGGCCAAGTTTAAACATAGTTAGCAACTAATTATATCATGTATTGAAACAACATTAAACGCCTCTAACTTCAAGGTGTTTTGTCATTGTGCCAGATTAAGAGGTCAAATCGAATTATTGTTTAGTAATTTTTCCGTGTAGTGACGGATTAAGAATACGGAATGTCACTACCACAATTCAAGTGTCGTAAGAGCCGATGAACGGCGTAAAATTACGCAGGTCACCAGCACTGCAAAAAGAAGGAAAAGTTGACACAAACCCTATACCAAACCGTCTGGCCAGCGTGGTATAGTAAGCCAAAACCTCCTTTCTAAGAAGCGGCCTATGTCCAGCAGTGGACTATTAAAGGCTGTTGATGTGATGGTGATGTGTGATGTTTAGTAATTTTATTTAAATTCCATCAACGTTTTAGCGAATTATACTTTTACATGTTGATAAAAAGGAAAATTCACATTGTAGTAACTCTAACTTTAGTAATTACCTTATTGAGTTTTATATGAATGTGTTTATATCACACAGTTGTTATAGATGTCTATTAAACAGTTGTTACTGTTTAATAGACATCTATACCATAAAATCTGTTTTATATTGTTCTTGAATATGCAAATCATAAAGATGCCTTCTCTTTATTTAATATGTTTTTTTTCTTAGCCAATAAAAAGTTATATCCTTTTTAACATATAAATGGAAGATTATTTTTATTATCAAAAAGATTTTTGTATATTTTATCTTTGAAGCCCACTCTCTATTGGAAGGTATTATTGGAAGACTTGACCCCGTTCCTTATAAATTAGACTTAATATAATCTTGAAAGACATTTTTATGAAAATTGTGACTGATGAGCCTTATCACATACACAAAAAATACAGCCTCCATTGTCAGGATTGTCTTTCTTGGCAATCGAATTTACTTTAAGAACGTCCATTGGTTTTGCATTACCTATTGTAATGAATAACGTTTTAGGAATAAATTATCTTGTTAGAAATAGATATTCAATTCTATTATGAATTTAATTTTAATAAAGACATCTAATAATGCTATCAACATAATCTCGTAAACTAACTATAAAGCCTTTGTACTTCGCTATGCGAGAATACATCTGAAGGTCAAGTTTATTTCACTACTATTCGTCACGTTGACCGCGTTTGGCGTTGCTATTGGCCCGCACTGAAATTTTCACCAATCGCAAAGTTAAACGCGCTCGACGTCCCCGCACTGAAATCTCCACCAATCGCAACGCTAAACGCGCTCGCCGTCGAGAGCGAGTCGATGTTAAATAAACAAGCATCATCCCATCAAGCATCATATTGTCCATTGTCATCATATCACAATTTAGTTAGGTATTAGTTTGTACACCTTCCAGGATATAACCTCTGTGACGTTTTGTATAGCTGTTTGTGGTTTACATCCGTATTCCTACAAATATATAAGTAAGTATGTATAAAACTGCCTGTTTCGGTGTTTGGGTGTTTTCTACGTATAATATGTGTGTATTCGATCATTCAATCTAGCACTAGCACAAGCTCAGCTTAGTTTGAAACTAGATAGCGCTGTGTCAGATTGATGTCTGAAATATTATCCGAAATATTATTCGAAACTGATTGACATGAACTAGTAAAACTATAATTAATTGTCTGTCTCGTATATTCACAGTTTATTTTAGCAGATCGATCACCTGACGGTAAATGACTTCCATAAATTGCCTTTGGATATCTGCTAATTAAGAGTTGCGTGCACCTTTTGAACCCTCTCCCCCTCAGAATTAGGCTGGCTTTGGGTAACCTCAATCACTCGATGAAAAGCAACTAAATAATTGCTTATCACAGTTTTTCTGTGAGGCCGTGGTAACACTCCGGTCCAGCCAGTCCATTTATGCCGAAGAATAGCCCTCCCAGGGAAAAATTCATCCATATGCAGGTGCATTGACATCGGTGATACTTTTATAAAAGTTGTTAGCAAGAAGAGTCTTCCATTTCGACCTTAACCGTATCCATACTAATATTATAAATGCGAAAATGTGTATGTCTGTTACCTTTTCACGCCTAAACCGCTGGACTGATTTAGATGAAATTTGATTTAGAGCTAGTTTGAATCGCAGGAAGGGACATAGAATAGTTTTTATCCCAGAAATCATCCGATATACAAGCGGGCAGAGCCGCGAGCAAAGTTAGTACAGCATAAAACAAAACTGTAGCCATTGTATTCCATGTGTACGGATAAACAGGATTTCGCAGATAATACCTGAATAGATTTGCAGGATTATACAGCCAAGTAAAATTTTAAAACTTCGTAATTAGGTTACCCATCCCTCAAATGTCCAATTTATCTCGAACTTACCTAACGTTTTAATTACTTCATAGAATTTACGCATTTATTAAGTGAACACCTGGCTATAAAGGATTAAAAACATTTAATTAAAAGTTCTCCACGTTGTAACCGGATACTGGGCGTCGGTTCTCATGACGACAGTGACACCGTGTGACTGTAGATATTCAATCGTCGCGCGGCCGAAGTTCAGGCTCCAGTGGACACGATCACCGAATACCAGCATAATTTTAAAATAGAACTGAGTTGATGTTTGCAGCGATGTCTGCATACGTGGAAGTATATTTTATACTTGCTGGTTCCGGCGACTTCTTTCACGTGGAATTTGAAAATCAAGGCAAAATTTTATAGGGTTTTTCTGAGAGAAAAAGTAGCCTAAGTTAATCCTTATAAAGACAGCTACCTGGTAGTAAAAAAATATCAATATCGGTCCAACCGTTTTTAAGATTACCCGCAACAAACAGACAGACAGATAAACAGACAAATGAAATTTAAACTGGTTTTTAGGCACAGGTATCGTGAAAATATGTGTGTGAGCATGAAAAAACCCTATTATTTTGACATTAAATACAGACACTTCAATTTTATTTATTTGTATAGATGCACATTAGCTATAGCCCCGCATGATTATTTCTTATTTCGTGTTTCTAAATTTAAAAATTGCGATCTTAAATACAACTACTCATCCCTCATTCGTTCATTCATTCATTCATCACAACATAAAAAGCATTAGCTGAGAAAAAATCATGTTTTTCACAACATGTTAAATTTAACGCTGGTTTTAGAGGAAAAGAAGGGTAAACTTTAACCATCTTATCTTAAAGGGCTTCCTCCTAGATAATATGATTTAGTTGTTAAACTTAGAGATACTTTGAAATAAATAGATAAATTTGTTTTCATATTTTTGATCAACTGTTTATTTTATATTTACGTACTTATTATAACTTAGAAGCACAAAATATGTACACTATTTTTTTTTTATATATGTAATATGCAATATTAGCTTAATTGTGTGAGGAGTTATAAATGGAAATCAAGAAATATTATCTATCTAAGCAGCCTATTGCTCACTGCTGGGTATAGGCCTATTCTCTATCATGCGGCGGCACTTTTGTGCCAGCCGGATCCATTGCTCTCCTATAGTCCTCACAATGTCATCTGACCAACGGGCCACCATTCAGTAACTGCCTTAGTCCATCCATCGTCACCCCGTCTGGCCAAGTGCCACTTAACCCTCGCAATCCGTATGCCCACATCCTCGACTTTGATGCGACATCGAATTTCGACATTTGTTATCTACGAGGTGGATACCTAGCATGGCCCTTATAGCATACATGTGCTTGTTTCGGATCCATAAGTGAGAATAGGCATAACACATTGAATATCTTGGTTTTCAGACATTACGGTACTTTTAACTTGAAGACGTCTTCAAATTTCCAAAAAAATAAATAATTAGAAGACGTTTTCATGTCAGAGAAAGAAAAGAAAGCAATAAACATTAAACAAAAAGCACTTCTAAAGTAAAATGCAATGAGTAAACAGTACTATACGCACTTAATTATATTTTCTACCGACTAAGTCGGTAGTTCCTGATCTGTTTACCTTTTTCACAATTTTACTCGGCAAAGGCATGCAGCTGTACGATTATTTGAGTTAGCGCAATTAGTAACATTGAACTGGATTTTGGTTCGTTTTTTATGCCGTATTTTTGCCTTCTGACGCCAACCTTCTATACGGTATATAATCGCTTTCAGACAAGACATAGAAACTAAAATTTATAGGGCAAAGGCGTTTTATTAACGGGGTGGAAGATCCACATGGATATCCTTCACCCAATGATAAGGGATTCTGTCGGAATCTTACCGACTAAAAACGGGAGCGAGAATCGCAATTACATTCTGCCGCCACCCTCCACAGACCCGTCTCACCCAAGATGGGTCTCGTTACCCGATGCGACCGTCACCCTTGGGTCGCAGTCTTCTAGAAGCACACATGGAACATGCTACGCTGCCCCTCACGCCTGTATCTATTTAGACGACGAATCCCCTGCAAGCTAGGTTATAGCTAATAGAACTGAAAAAGAAGGGTATAGCTTACGCGTATGCCGCTTGTCTAGGTCTGATAAAATTGAGTCTCTTACTCTTAGTTAGTTACTGCTAATGTCCGTAATATAACCCTTAAATTCTATATTATTGTAACATCAGGGTATTTTCATATCACTTCTTAGTAATAAGTGATAGTCATTACCGTGAGAGAGTCATGCTTCAGCACATGCCATATAGACCCGCTTGATCGGAGTGATACCACGGTCTCACAGAAAACCAGTATTAAACCATTATTTCGTAGGTTTTCACCGAGTAAGTGTGGTTAGGTGGTACACATAGACAAAATAACAGTGAACTGTGAATTATTATCTAGCTAGGGAATGGTAGCTATATATAATATAACTAGCTGACCCGGCAAACGTTGCTTTGCCTAAAAAAAAAATTTAGGGATGAGTCACCCTTACCATTAAGGGGTATGAAAAATAGATGTTGGCCGATTCTCAGACCTACCCGATGTGCACACAAAATTTCATGAGAATCGGTCAAGCCGTTTCGGAGGAGTACGGGAACGAACATTGTGACACGAGAATTTTATATATAAGATAATTACTAGATTTACTGTATAATTTGAAAAATTCTTACTTGAGATAGATAGATAGATAGGTACTATTTATTACACACCATAGATAAAAAACATACAATGCAGAATATAAACATAAAATAAAAAAACAGTAGTACAATGGGCGGCCTTATCGCAGTCAGCGATCTCTTACCGGCAACCTTTGTATGGACCATACTATGTAGTAATATATGGTTTGTGGTGCGCATACATTTACACAAATACATATTCATACACATGCATATATTCATATAAATATACATACACATACACACATCACATACCTATATAACACATAGTTCTTACAGAGATTAATAGTGATCCTTGTCGAGTCTCTTAAAAGTATTCACTGACCGCGCCCGCCTTTTAGCTTGCGGTAAGGAATTCCATAGGCATGCTGCTTGTACTTTAAAAGATGTATCAGTAAAAGTTGTGGAGTGTGTTGGAATTTCTAGTGTGAGATTTTCCGATGATCTCAAGTCTCCTGTATGTGTGTCATGGATAAATGTGAATCGTTTCTTTAAGTAGATAGGAGTTGCAGGATTAAACAAAATATTCTAAAGTAAAGAGAGTATGTGAGTATTCGAAGCCGAACTGGGAGCCACTTGAGTTTTTAAAAATTCGGAAATATAATCATATTTGCGCACGCCGAAAATGAATCTAATATAGAAGTACTGAAGTCTCTCAAGTTTATCGAATTGGTCCTCGTTCAGATCCAGATAGCTGACATAGTCAAGGATGAACTCCCCTGGATACCACCCACCGGCAAAACCGCACCCCGTCTCGGGTACCAGTAGCCGGGGAACCAGGTGTACACTAGAAAGAACCACATTCGAAATCCCACGACAGCAAAGCATCTGTTGCCTCTTTTGTACGTTGTACGTTGCCTCTTTTTAAGATTGATGAATGTAGGTCATTAGATACCCTATGCTTACATAAGTCTACTAACAAGTAATGAGAATTTTCAGAAATAAATGTTCAGGAGCAGTTTATGTTCTATGGACGAAATTCTGAGAATCTCGCGATCAAAATTTGTACTAGCGCTTGATAAACTAAAAGGTCTTTGAGTTGGGTAAAAGAGATTTGTTTATTTACTTTGCAAGCGGAAAATACGAAAGCTGTGGTTAGTCTTAGCATCACTAAGTATGCGAAACAGCAAACAAGATGTTTGTTAGTCACCAGGTACCGGCATACATGTAAATCCTTTTTCTGCTTTTAGAGTATTCTTACATTATCCGTAAGGTGACGGATTAAGAATACGAAATGTGACCACCTTACGAGTATACCCGTGGGTGCAGTAAGAGCCGACTAAGGGAGCAAACTACGCAGGACAACAGCATTGCAAAAAGAAAGAAAACTTGACCCAACCCTATACCAACAGGCCAGCGTGGTATAGTAGGCTTAAACCTCCTTTCTAAGGAGAGGCCTATGTCTAGCAGTATATCATTAAATGCTGTTAATGTGTGCCAATGAGCATGAACACCTACAACTTAAGAGTGAACAGTTCGTTGCCCACTAGTAACTCAGAAATATTGGAAGAGAAGATTGTGGGCTCAGATAACTTCACTCAATCTGGGTTAAAGCATCAAAAGTATTGCATAACACCGTGATGCCGTGATATCACTCCGGGCAAGCTGGCCTATACGCGCCGCCTAAACATACCTTTCCCACGTAAAAATGTAACAGAGTAAATAGTAATTCATAAATATCATTTAAATTATCTGCTCCCCTTCCTTCACTCCAAAATACGTATTCAAAAACATCAACACAATATATTAATAAAATAAGTACGTATTTGTTTTTGTACAGAGGATTTAGAACACATTCAGTAACTTAATATTGTGAAATTGAAACCCGTAACAAGCTTTTTTGTTGCCGTGTAAGCTAACTCGACGATCTCATAACAGGTTAATGGAACCCAAGAGACTGCGACAGTACTTCAGGTTCCCATAAATTAATGACGACATATTTCAACGAGAGAGTATTAGCGTGTTTTGAAATAGGAGTATTATGTGTTGTTTATTATGTTTTTGTTTTAAAATTATTTTGCATTCACTATATTATTGATTTGTTTGGAATTTCTGACATGAAATTTAAAACTCTCCTTAGCTATAGCAATACTGTTCTCTTGAGGAGGACACAGCGTCACCACACCTGTAGTCTGCCAAAGTCTATATTGATATCCAAGTCCTACAGGCCTCACCAATCATAAAACCACCGACCTCGAATAAAATTAAGTCAGGAAAGTAATGAGCCTCACTTCTGAGCTTTTTTCAGATTGACAGTTACTCTACGTTGTTTCTACTTCTGACAATGCTCAATATATTCAAAACACAGATGGAAGAACACGTAACAAAGAAAAATAACAAAAAAAAAATACAGATAGAAAAAAATATTTCTAAACATTATCTGTATCACTGAGAAAGTAGACTTATGCGTAATTACTTTTGGAACGAAGTTCCTTATCGCGCGTTGTGAAAGGGGGCTAGACGGAAAAAATTCTTACGAAAATTGGTCACGACACTTTTTATTTTGAATTGTCACATGTCAGTCATTCAGCGCCATCTATCGAATAGTAAAATTAAAATTTATGTTCTTAGGTTTTGCAAAAAATATTGTATTCGACATCATTTCTCAAGGAGATTTTACCAATGTATAAATTGTTTTAATTAGAAATCAACTGAAAAATATGTAGGTAATAGCAGCTTTCATAGATGGCGTTGTAATTAAAATCGTGTCGAATCAGTTTTACTCGATCGCAACAACTTCGTTCCTATCGGGTGTCCCACGACACCACACGGCTTTTTTATTTTATGCGTGAACATATTTTAGATTTGTATAGTATGTATGTGTATATATATATTAAGCATATATTAAGGTTTAGTGTGATATCAACCAAGGGTAATTTCTTGTTAATTATATTGTAAACTATAAAAATATGGCTTTATAAAGGCAACACTACCACCCTACACTAAACTACCTTTCAAAGGCAATTTTGAGAAAATCCTCTGCATTTCTTTTGCAAACATTCACTTAACATGGTTCTAAACCATATGTTATTGTAAATTGGCTTACAGAAAAATCTAATAACACACCGATTGGATCGAGAACTACATTTTTAAATTAAACCAGACCATATTTGTTTTGTTTTACTTCCGATTGATTTGAAGAGAGATTCTGTTGTATTGTAACATTGGTTTTCATACTCCCTGTTTTTACCTTATACACACAGAAGTAATCATGGCCTCTGAAATTGATAGCACTACCTGTGGGTTCATTAAAAATCTAATAAAAGAATTTCTTTTGCTACAGTGCCAACGGCTCACGCACAAGGCGTATTAGGGAAAAAAGCAGCCCTGCCTTGCGATATTCAACCACTGGCTGCAGAAGACCATGTCTCCATGGTACTGTGGTTCAAAGAGACGGATGGAGAACCGCTGTACAGGTAATATATATTTTTTGTACATACTATTTGTGTACCATCTTCATTTATTTATAGTTTTAAATTTAAATCGCACATTTCTATCCAGTATTCATAAACTTTCCAAACCTATAATTACATATATTATTGAGTTTTGTAAGTGAAATTGTAATTATACTAACAGTATATACCTAAATTAGTTAGCTCACCTAATCAAAGTTGTTTTTTACTTAAATATCACACCTTGGTGTAGTCAAATCGTTCGCCTTTTATGTTAATTTGATGATAAGAAAATAATTCAAAAAGAAAATTAAACTGACGACAGTTTGAAAGTAATTTTTATAGTTATTATTTGAATAACTAAGAAATGAAATGACTGACTTAGTTATTTGAATAATTGAATGAATTTTTGTTTTGATTTTTAAATTTGAACCAAGTCAATTTTGAGCATAAGACAGTAATCTGAAACTTAGAAGAAGTAAATAAATTGCAACACTTATGAATGGCCTTGTTAATTCATTCAGCTTTAAAAATCTTTTAGAAAAATTGTCACATCAACAGCCTTTGATAGTCCACTGCTGGACATAGGCCTCTCCTTAGAGTAAGCCAAAACCTCCTTTCTAAGGAGAAATTACAATAGTACTGCCTAAAGGTTGGATTAGACTCGTGGCAAAGATTTAGGTGATTGTTAACACTTCATTGCATTTACATAAATTATTGTGATTACATAACTTATACACGGATGATATTCTAAAACACTTAATCCAAATGCAAAAAGTACATTAAACAATATAAAAGGATAGCAACGGGATTAAAAAGGCTATTACTCTGGCTGAATCACATGAAACCTATTGTGGACAGACTACAATGGTACTCTGATCATCCTAATGTCAGCCAATCTATCAGGGGAGATGGTAGATTCACATATACCGTAACTCTCTACAAAAAATTCTAACTTTTACTTTTAATGTGTGATTATTTTACACAAAAAAACCTAACAAAAGAAGAAGAACCTGACCGTGCTTTATTTGATTGTGTAAATGACTTAAAATTAAATAGTTAAAGTATACAAAATCTATTTATTCTTTATGATTAAATTTTAAAATAATTTCTAATACAATAAAAGTTCCATTAGACGCTTGTAATTTAGAATCAATAATGATTGATTACTTAGGGGGTACCAGTGGCTTTAGTATGGTTTTAACTTCCCCAGGAAAATTTAATTGCGTTCCAAATTTTGTATAAATAAATTTTATTATAATAAGATTTACTGACTGAACGGACTGAGACAAAAATTAAATCAGATTGACATATTAATTCTTGACATTTTTACATGTCGGCTTATTAAAAAAAAAAACATTTATTGCATTCCAGCTGATTTTTTGAAGACAACTCCCGCATTAGGAATAAGTGTATCCTGTGTCGCGGGGGACTTTATAGACACACATGAAACGGACACAAAGAACACCCAGACTCAGAACAACAATTTGTGGATCACACAAAGTGTAGTCTCATGTGTAGTCAGTCTCACTACGCCATCCGTGCAGTCAATATGTTTTTAAATTATCTGGTATAATAGGAGTCAGGCGAAATAAATAAGCCTTGAAGCAGGTTATTTGTTCTAATACGTAGCTACTATGGAGAAGAACAGGCAAGAAACGCCAAATGCATTCAATTGCTTGTTATAAAACGAACTTTATGATATTTGAACAATAGCAGTACGGAGAAAATCAGCCCCGACTAATGGTAGTTGTTCACGGGAAGCGTGACCACATCAAACATCGTCCCATCAACCATCGTCCCATCAACCATATTAAAGAAAGCCGAACGATTAATAAGCCACCACCGTCCTTGTGTTAACCTCTTTATATACTTTTCACAGTTACGATGTCCGCGGTCGTCTAGCTACACAGCCAAAACTCTGGTCATCTCCTGCTGGCTTCGGCACAAGAGCATACTTCAGAGCAGCTGCTAATCCAGCTGTTTTGTTCGTGGACAGCGTGGTCTCCACTGATGCAGGCGTATACAGATGCAGAGTGGATTTTAAAAATAGCCCTACTAGGAATTTGAAGGTCAACTTCACTGTTATTAGTAAGTATATCAATATTTTTATTAGCAAATCATAAAAAAGATATGTATGTCAATAACCTACTCGTATATAGATAAAAATATTATGATCTGAAAATACTCTTGTCAAAGTTACTGAGTTCTTTGCGAAGCCAAAGCAATCCGATTTACGAGTATACTATGATTTTGTTACTAGTTTTTTTAGTACGTGATAAATGCAGTTTTAAAATAACATTCGTCAAAACACAAATATCATATTAGAATCATGATTTCGTTCCTCATTAAATTAAATAGTTTCATCAGCAATGTTCATAATGTATATCTTCTAAACTTTATTCAAATCAAACCTTACCTTGAAAAGCTTTTACTTTGGTAAATGTGGCGGTGCGAATAAACATCTGTGAGTTTCTACTCTCAGTCTATTGGTTACCTAAACATTTTATTTTTCGTAAACTAGAAAGTATTAAATATTACTTCGTAATTTTAGTTTAATTTTATATTTTAACATGAAGCTTTAAAATACTCCTTAAATATCAAAGTTACGGTGGTATATCTCGAATCCACGCCCGTTATAAACCGGCCGATGAGTGCTAAAAATTACCTTTCAAACAGATTTTTTGAAATTTTTCCCTGTCATAAAGCTACTTTAAAGTGGTGACACACTTTTTATCCAATTACAAGTTGGCCTGAGCAATTTCTGCTGCAAAACGAACTAAATTGCCTTGTTTTTTGCAACTTTTTTCACTGATGCTGAGCTCCTATGCGTGATATTAGCCTACAGCCTTCCTCGATAAATAAGCTGTCCAACACTAAAATAATTATTCAATTCGAACCAGCAGTTTTTGAAATTAGCTCGTTCTAACAAACATACAAATAAATGAATGAATGTTTTATTATTACACTTTAAAACTTATACACATTTACACATAGTTTGTGGTTGCTAAATTATTCTGGACTTGAAGAATAACCTCTTGAAATAAACTCTTCAGCTTTATAATATTAGTCTTGATTCTAATATATTATGTATATTATGTAGTTTACGCAAACAAAGTTGTAGATGAAAGCAGTTCCAAGAAATTTTGCTATGTTAAAACTTTGTCAGTGTATTTTAAAACTTCCTTAATTTTGAAAATCTATGGTGTAGATTTAGGACCGCACTTGAACTATGTATATTACATGACAAAATTGCTATAAATTTATTCCACGCGAATCTGGGAGGAGTCGCTAAATTTTCATAAATATCAAAAGTTTGCATACAAATAAGATGCATAATACTGTCTCGAAAAGTACGAAAATATTTTAGATGCCTAAATAATTTACAACGTGTTTGAGAAATGTATTCTTTGTCTTATTCAGTCGATAGGATCTCTTTCTAATAACTTGTACACTCATGTGAATAGAGCTGGCTACCCTCAAAGTCAAAGGAAATATCAGCTCACTTTGAGCTAGAAATAACTGTAAGTTAACTAATATTCTTTGTAGGGATGAATTCTCACGACTCTTATTTTACTTCATGAATTCTTTTGTACAAAACTGTTAGATATTTCCAATATATATATATTGCCAACTTGGAGTAATAATGTTTTTTTAAAAGTAGTTCGCATGAGTTGCCGATCGAAAAACATCGAAGTTCTACCGCATCGTAGTAGGCTGAAAACCGAGTCCAATCTAGTTTGTGTCCAATGTTTTGTACATGTGTGGACTTATTTTTGATTGTAACTTCAGATAATTAAAATGACTATGAACAGTGTGTTTCATAAATTGCTCCTTGAGTTTCCACTTACACTAAGTTCCGTTGCAGGTACTTGGTCTTCGTTTTTGATAAACGATATTTAAACTTGTGAACAAGTTGTGAGTGTTGACACGAACTTAAATTGTTATTGACAAATGTCATATACTTTAAAGATGAATTTGTTATGGGTCTTGATTTCAAACGCTTTACATGCTATGAAATCAACTTTCGGCTAAGTAGCTTGGGACCGGCGAGTAACAGGCGACTCTGTTCTATAGAAAGTATTGCTTGCACTCCCTAATCCATCCATAATCATCATCATCATCATCATCCTTAAATAGTCCACTGCTGGACATAGCCCTCTCTTTAGAACTGAGATTTTGGCCTACTATACCACGCTGTCCAGACGAGTTGGTATAGGGTTTATGTCAAATTTTCCTTCTCTTTGCAGTGTTTTGTGCAAATTTGGTCCCTTAGTTGGCTCTTACGGCACCCATGGGATGAATAGGAGTGGTGACGGACGGACAGCCGAATCCATCTGTGTCAGCAATATCCCTTTTTACCACTGCCTGCCCTTCTTGTCTACCTTTCCTTTCAACATACTCCAAATTATCTCATCTAATCCCTGAAATGCTGGTACACGGCAATAGGCCGTATTACCTTAGTAGGACTGAATTTATAGTAGCAATCACTAGGCATCTAATAAACCTCTGTCTATCCTTTTCGGGGGTATATGTAAAACATACATATCTAAAATCAACCTTGAGAGCGAGAAGTACACACATTCAAAACTTGTAATGCGATAAAACCTGGGGTAGAGTTCTGAAAATTTACTGTTCATTTCATTTCAGTATCTTCTCTTGTTGAGATTGGAAACTGTAATAAAGTCAATAATGGCCCGGACGTACAGATAAAAATAACGAAAGAAGTTGAGAGTCGTTAAACAAGTTTGGCACTATAATAAGGGATAAGCAATCAAGTGATAAAACTCTCCAAAGACCGATAATAACATATATCTGTACTATATGGGCAACGGTGACTGACTAATTTGTGTCATGCTAACCAGTATTGCATTCTACAATCGAATAGCTTAAACATAATTCTACAGGTCCGAGGACTGAGAATTTTGAGTTGGTCTTGCGATTTTATGTACAAATTTCTTTTCGTTTCAAAAATTCAAGTTTCATCCTTTCTCATGACTTGGCTAAAAAATCGATCACCACATTTGATTCATTGTTTTATTTTAATAAAGGATTTGTACGTTTTCTTTCACATCCTTTCATTGTAAATGTATTTCCACCGGTCCCTGGCTTTGAGTAGAATTGTGTTTCCGTCAAATTTACTCAGATTTTTTGAATTTTAACTTTAAGGCTTAAATTTACTGAATAAACGATTAATTAATTCCTTGTTTTACGAGTATTCAGTAAATTTAAGCCTAAAATGATTATACTTGCCACAAATTTTTTAATCATCAAAATCTATTCTTCCCAAAAAACAAAAAAATTGCCCAAAAAAAGTTTAACGACCGAACATTTTTATAGCAGCTTGTTAAATTCTCTTTATAAGTTTATTACAACGAAATTTTAATCCTCTTAATGGGCAATAATGACCATTATCGATAATTATCGGTTTATTATATCGGGCCAAGTTATGGGATGAAACCCTCGGGTACATCATTAAATAATTGAGTTTGTTAGAAACCTGATGATACTTAATTATCATTAACTTTATTCTTGACGAAAACATTATGTACGAGAAAATTTTATAAATGGTGCCAAAAATAAGGGTATGTATTTAAAAGCTATTTCGTAAGTCCCCAGCATGCTAAGAATAAAAAAAATATGTAAAAAAATCTCAGCTTTTTTAGAAAAAAACAAGCAAGAATCATGCTTCAGCAAGTCTGGACCGGCTCGAACGGAGTAATATCACAGCCTCATAGAAAACCACTGTTCAGCAACTATTTTGTTGCCTTTTACGGAATGCAAGGCTGGAGGCCCAATGCTCTTCCTCTCCTTACTCTGGGGAGGGTGGGAGAATGGAGGGTGTTGCATTTAAAGAATGGTACAGCATTTGTCTCTTGGGTTTCACGTATACCATAACATAAAACTTGTGATTTTATAATTTTGAGTTCCTGCACTACTTCAAAAGTAATTGAAATTAGTGTAAAATCACGACATTAGTTCATAGCTGTTTTTGGACAAAGAAATATATATAATATAATAATAATAAAAATAAGATGTGTTAAAAACTGCCCCCCAACCGTCAATGGCGTCGAAAAATTGAGAGTCAGAATAAAATAACACACGCATTAACAAATGTTTTTATTTTTAAAACTAATTTAATAAGCAACACGTATTTAAGTAAAAAAAATCCACCATCACATGTTTATAGCGAAAACACGCAGTTAGACGGAAACTTTCAATGTCTCTCTTTCTATCTCTTATACAGGCCTTCATTCATTTCAGATATAGCATAACTATTATTTTTAAATAATTATTATTAGAGTTCCACTAAGGCCTTAAACGAAAACATGAGTTTTGCGATGGCAAAAGTCGGATACTTTAAAACACTCGCAACCCGCGTCTTTAAAACCAAGCGGAGGAGTTTTACGAACTCACGGTGACTACAGTTCCTGTATTTGTCAACTAGAATATAACACTAATGTGAGTATTGTTTGGCACTCGCAGTTTCTCGAGGGATAGAGACAGTATTCTGTAATGAGATCTGTTGATACTAAAATTATTTGTAGTAGTTTCTCCTAATTTTTAAGGTTCCAATCTAAATAAGAGAAATCTATACCATAGAAAACTACAATTTTAGAGAAGGAACGCCCCTAAAATTTTAGTTTCATATCCTTAAAAGGAGGTTTTGACCTACTATACCACGCTGGCCAGACAGGTTGGTACTCGTATAGGGTTTGTGTCAAGTTTTCCTTCTCTTTGCAGAACCTTTGTCCTGCGTAGTTTGCTCCCTTAGTTGACTCTTACGACACCCACGGGATGAATAGGGGTGGTGACACTCCGTGATCTTAGTCTAGAATGGTCAGCTATTATGATGTATATTATTATTACGTTAGCATATTGTAATATGTTTAGTATTTTGTATAATGAAATCTGTTATCTTACTACACGCTTATGCGGCTTCCAAATGGGAATGAATAATTTAAAATGTTCTAATTATCTATAAACCAACAAAATGCCAAATCAATGAAAACTAATTTGGGCTTGAACATGAAAAAAAAACAGAATTTTCTCTTTCGCTCACACATTCGCTCTTTATTTATAATGTAACACATTTATTTTATATTCAAATGAAACTATCAAACACCTCAAACAAATACCCGAGACATATAAATTCCACGAAGTCTAGCCGTTAGTCAAAAGATTGACGTTCCTTTTATTTACGATGTGTCAGCTTTGTTTGTCAATGTGGACGAAGAAATTTATTACGTAAAGGGTCCACGAGTAAATGGAATATCATTTATTACACTACCGCCGAGAAAAAACTACGTTTAGTGGCATATCTTGTCAAATTGTCTTTTTATTACAGACAAGATTTACACGCAAAATATTTCTCGGATGAGGCTCCTTATCCTTTGGGCCCGTTAATATATGAGGGTCTTGCAATGTGGTCTTCGGTTGGGGCAATCTTGATGGAAGACGTTACATTACCGTGAAAGATTAAAATTAAATTCGCCGTGATATTTATTGCGATTTTTTTATTTGTCTTCGAGACACATTTTATTTTATTTAACATACCTCTTCTAAGAATCTGTGTATTCTCTAATATGTCTATGTGAATTTGAATTATTTAAATTTCTAAGGGTACAAAATAATATTAATACGTGAAGAATTCTTTGTGTGCCTTTAAAGAAATACTGGCGCTCGGAACAAACGAATCTTATTTTGAATACTTAATGTTTATGTGATCAGTACCGGTTATAAAGACGTCTTTCAGCTGAGATGATGATGATGAATGATGTAGGTAGGATTTAGAAGTAGGGTAGAAAGCTAAAATTATATGTAAACAAAATTATATGGGGGCCTTCTAATAACTGCATTCGATTCGTCCTTCAACCTTCGCAAATATGACCATGTTTCCCTCCTTTCGTCGCGAATTGAACTGGCTCACTTATTCGCTAGCGCCGACACCTGCGCGCCCTCCACCACTCTCTATCCATTATCTACTCACCCATTTCCCCCTCCTACCTGTCATCTTCATTCCAATTTTCCTGTGGCTCCAACCACAACTAGAACCCTCCGGTCAGCTAACAATCCTCTTCTGCTCTGCCCCACTCATACTTCCGCTTGTGTCCACTCCATCTTCCTAATCCAATACGTACTCCTCTGGAAGTCAGGATAGCACCCAGCCGCCTCTCATTCAAGATGAAAGCTAGAGCTCGCATCTGATTTTTTTTTAGGTCATTTTAATCATTACTGATTTTTAGGCTTATGTATGTCTGGTTTCCCCGGCTATTAGTACCCGGCGAAGGCGTGCGGGTTTTAGTCGGTTCGGGGTCCGACATGTGCCACCGACAGTGGTATCCGAAGGGATATCACGCACGGAAAAAAAAAAAAAAAAAAAAAAAAAGAGGCATATGTATGTATGTTGCTATATAGTATTTTGTGTATGTGTATTATTTGGTACGTATGAATGTATGTATAGTCTATCGCATCACTTCTGCCTAACTTATCAATAATTTTCTTTTACTTCTCCTATTAATGTCTAGTGCACCTAGCCACACATTTCAGCACCACCCTAAGGTAACTGGGAGAAAATGCCTATGGCATTAAGTCCGCCATTGTACAACTATTACTTGTGCATGTAGAATAAATGAAATAAAAATTATGTACAATGATAGTTCAAGTTATACTGGTAAATTAAATAAAACTAGACATTCAAAATGGTCGAAATTCAAACGCCAGACGATATCTAATCAAATTAAATTTATTAAAGACGCCTTTAAACGTATTTTACTATTATCAGGAAATATTTATTCCCGGAGAAAATTAACTAAACAGAAAACCTTAATCAAATCACTGAAATTCCTGGTACAATTACGAATTAGAAGGTTCAAATCTGAGAGTTACGTATAATTAATCTGTGATGGATATTTAATTATTTACCGTCAACGCGTACAAAACGCTATTCCGAGAACGGAGCTCATAAATCGAGCAAATGTATTTATATCTGGTTTGCTTACCACATTTTCTGATTTTTATTTTTTATGTTAGAGGGGGCAGACGAGCAGACGGGTCATTTGATGGAAAGTGACTATCGCCGCCCATGGACATCTGCAACTCAGGAGTCACAAACGCGTTGCCGGCCTTTTAGGAAGTAGTACGCTCTTTTCTTGAAGGTTTGAAGGTCGTATCGGTCCCTAAATACCGCAGACGATAACCCGTTCCATAGATTGGTTGTGCGGGGCAAAAAGTGTCTCGAAAAGCACACAGTAGTGGAGCAGTAATTATCCAGGTAATGAGGATGAAAATTTTGCCGTGTGTAACAATGGCGGAAATTTGCGGCTGGTATTATTCCGAACAATTCCTCGGAGCACTCTCCATTATATATTATTATTATTTATTAACGAGCGTATTTTCACTTCATATACATTGTTATAGTTTTAGCCTCTAGTCCCCACTTGACCTTTAGAACTACAGACCTTTATTGATCAGAACTTACGTCCAAACAATACATATTGCCCGAAAAATTGTAATTAAATATTTGCTCGCCCTTTAAACAGCATCGTCTGACTTTATATCGTTTTATCTTGAAATTGAAAGCTACGACTGTAAACATCAGTCCGAAACTATTTAATGTTCTAAACTTTCATCAACAATTTCGCGCGATTTTGGTCAGACAGTCCGGTCAGTCTGTACATTCAGTCAGTCAGTTAGATCAGGAATTGTGTTTTTATTAATTACCAGCTTTTGCCCGCGGCTC